CTTGAGACTCTCTTCAACTAAACGCTTTTTTCTGTGTTTCCACAAATTATTGGTCATTTTGAAATTTATTTTACATATTGACAAATATAATGCAGTGCAGTGTTGATTTAAAGAAAATAATCTTGAAATACACCAAGAGAACTAAAATTTTATGGGTGAAATGGTGCCATGGGGTGACTTCTCTTCCACCCCAATGCCTTCTCTTCTTCCTTCTCCTCCACCCCCATTCTAATTCCCATCATCATCATCAATCATCATCCAGGAGCCTTCTACATACACACCTCAAAGTAAGTGAACTTTTCTACCATTTTGTTGAATTTGGGAAATTTTCGGTGAGCTGGAACCAATTACCCAAAAACCCATTGAAACAATGGTTTCGATTACCAACGAATTTCTGGAACGGATTGAGTTCGTTAAACGAGGGGTCACTGTATAAACATCATGGATTTTGCATTAGACATACAAATTTTAGATCTAATGTAATAATTTGGTTTACACAAAGCAAGTATTTTATCTTTTGTGCAAAATATATGAAGTTTACATTCAAAATATTCCCTGACCTGCAAGGAATCCGGAAATGTCAATTAAATTATCCTAACTTTAGTCTGAGGTATTATTTATTACTAAACGTTAAAATCTAGTGTTTCACCCAATCATTTCTCAGAGAGGTAGGGGCCAGTGAGCTGGGAAGAGGGAGGGGGGGGGATTTGAGTCTATTATTTGAATGGACATTAACCTGGCGACTGTATTTCTCTTAAATATTAATTGTGTGAGCATACCATCATAAAATTTAGATATTATTTTTACTACAACATAGGTATTGTGTCGGGAAAAGTGGAGTTTGGGGGTCTGGCCAGTCTCTATTGGAATTAATCCCATATGTTCTGTTGTTCACTTTACGCGGTTTTCACTTTCCGCTATACCCTGTGGGTTCAATTGACTGCGTAAATCGGGGTACTACTGTAGTCCAGAATGCGAAGTCGACATGTCCCAACCCATCTCCACCCCTCGAGAGTTGACATTTGTTTACTACTCGCTCAAGGGCAAGAGATGATGGTAGCAATGCGTGTAATGGAGAGTGTGGGAGAGGGTTTTGAGAATTGCAATTAAATGCCAGGTAGCGACGTGTCCTCCTAATATTACGTATTAAGTAATTATTAGATGTTTTAATTGCCTGTATGTTGGCCTGGCGAGTTATTGCTAGGCAGTAACATACCTAGGTATAAAGCTAGACATCGCATTCTGGACTATATCACAAAAACTGGTTTTTAGAAGAAAAAGCGGGTTATTTTTGCATTTTTGACTTACGACCTGGTCGTCCCTAACCCCGTCGTAGGTCGAGGACTGAGTGTATATCTATTCATAACTTATTTGTGATTGGAATAATGATGGACCCATAAACCAATTCATAAAAAAACCTGGCCTACTATGGAAATAATGGAAGCAAAGGAATAAAAAAAAAAAAAATCACAATAATGACCCAACACAAAATAGCTCTGTAAGAAAAATAAAATTAATCACAGACACATGCTGGTGGTTTTCTTCCATTAATTGTCATCTTTAGGGACAACAGCAACTCATTCACAGTTCCATTCATCCTGAGGTATGTCATCATCATACACTTCTATTGTAACTAACTAACTAATACAAGTAAAACTATTCCCATGTCTTGTACGCTAGGTCTTGCTAAATACTGTACAATTTTCATCATCAGATATTTATCCTCTTTTTGCAAGACAAACATACAGTACTTGTATCTCTTTTGCCTGCCTGGCATGTTCCAGTTGTTTTATATTACTGTATCTTGGAAACCTAATATTTGTTCCTATGAAAACCATGCTCTTCACTGTCTAGGAAAATGTACCTTCACTATGTTGCATATAATCTCTCTCTTGTTGCAAATGCCATCATTAATATGCATACCTACATCTCTACTATTTAAAATAAACAGTGGACCAATCGTATATTAGTCAACAAATGCAGTAAACCAAATTTCACTTTTCCACCTCAGTTCCTCTACTCTTTCATAATTCCCTTTACCTTATACCATCCTTGTCTGAAAACATGTAGTACAGTATTCATTTATACGAGTCTTCATTCACTATCTAGTTCTTTATGTTAACTATTACAAATTATTCTTTTAAGGATAGTGTCCGGCTGAAGCATGAAATTCATTAATAATTGTTCAATCAATGTTGCTGTACCCCTGAATCGGTTCTGCCTAATCCCTAATCCTGATACCTAATTTTTCCCTTATATTCTTATCAGTTTTCAAAATCCTACTTCTCCATAACTTCTCGCTAGATTACGTTGAAATTCAGGTAGAGTATAGGTAATTTACTCCCCTTGAACGAGTCATATAGATATTTCTGATTATCACTTTTGTTTTGGGTGCATGATTTTTTTTCCTAACTCACCATTTTCTCCTCCAAATATTTATAAAGATAAAGCAGCAAATAAGAAACCAAGCTAAATATAAAGAAAATATATATGTTCAGCCATGCACAATATGTTATTCTATTACTTAGTATTTATTTTATTAGAATAGGCCCATAAATGGCTGAGCCTTAGGGATTTGAAGGTTAGAAAAGCGTTTTGAGATACAGGCCTATAAGCAAGACACGGTTGAACCTCACTCTCGCTTCTTTCATGAGTAACTGAGGCTTCAGACTCTCATCTTGCTGCTAGTTTGCAGAGAAAGGTGCCAGATACTGAATTTACCAATTGATTGGTATTCCACCAAAATATTATTATAAATTCTTTTCTACAGCTTTTGTTACATAAACAGAAGGGCCCTCTAAATGAAGGGGGGTAGAACAATCATGCATAGCTACATAAATATTACGAATTATGCAATCAAAATACGTCAGCAGATAGCCATAGGCAACAGCTTTCCTCAGGAATTTCTCTGAATATTTTCGAAATTTTCTGATTTTCATTGTATTTTCAGTCAGACACTCCCCTTAACTGGGCCATGTTGCGGTACATTCATGAGCCTGTGCATGTCCAGTACAGAGAAAAAGTACAGTACTGTATTTTTGTATTTGTATCCACATTTGACATCCATGGTCTTGTAATTTTGCCTTATTACCAGTGCATGTTTGGTTTTCTTATTCCTTCACACTCACTTTCATGACCAAGGTAAAGAATTATAAAATAGAAATGCCTGAGTGAAGAGAAATATTAACAAAAATTATACAGTCCAATACTTAATTTCAAATATTTATTCACTCGTAAACAACTGTATTAATAATTTTTTATTTTACCAGATAGTATCACTCTCAAACAACTAATATGAAGCAAAAAGCAATTCTAATTTAAGTCTGATTCACCAATGACTAAGACAGTGACCATATACTGTAGTTTGAGTGTTCTTATGCATATCTAATGCCAACCCCATGAACCAAGCCAATCTACTCTTTAAAAAATACGAATTATTGCAGTGAGCATTTGGCTGTAAAGATGAACATGCTCCCTGTCACAAGATGGTGGAGAAAACATTTAATCCATAATCAACCAACATAATACATCAAGTGTGTGTGTGTGTAGCAAGCAACTACAGGAACATAAATGCGGCAGTAGAGGAAAATAATAAAAAAGGCAACTTGTTAGGGTGAAAAATGTCAATGCAATCCAGGGAGCCCAACACAATGTGTCCGCCAATAGACTGTAAGTCATGCACTCAGATATTATTAGCACTGTACATCATGCCCTCATGTACTAGCAGCAATGTACATCATGCACTCTTACACTAGCAGCAATGTAAATCATGCATTCATACTAGAAGCATTATGAATCATGCACTCCAGAAACTTGTACATCATGCACTCTTATGCCAGAAGCTCTGTGCATCATGCACTCTTGAACTAGAAGATCTATACATCATGCGCTCTTGTACTAGCAGCCTTGTGCATCATGCATTCTTGTACTAGCAGTCTTGTGCATCATGCACTCATGATTAACAGCCCTGTGCATTATTCACTCTTGCACTAACAAACCTATGCATCATGCACTCTTGCACTTGCATTCCTGTACAACAGGTACTCTTGAGCTAGCAACCATGTACACCGAACATTCTTACATCCACATCATTGCCTGTAGCTGCAATCATTCCCATTTTGTATTCACTTACACCATCACATTCACTGACATGTTTTTACAATACTATGAAGTTATTCTTATGTGTAAATAAGGCAAAAATAACAAGTGATCAGATCTAGTATCCTGCATGTTGCTATACAGTATTTCTAAGTGATCACGGCAAGAGCAAAAATCTTAACTGGTAATGCATTATCTTATGTCATCAAATTTAATAATTATTCATAAGATTTAATCAACGAAAGCAATCAAATCATATTTACCGCTGATATTACTTTTTTTGCCTCCATATTCATTGATCAGACCCAGAATAAAAGATGGAAAGTTCTATTCCTGTAGTTGCAGTGACTTCCTTAGTCTCATAAGTGTCACCATGTAAACTGCAGTGTTGAAATAAAATATTCAACCTTTCACTGTGCAGATTTATGAATATGATGTTTAAGTTATTGTGAATCTTTCCCAGTGTTTTGTCTTCATGATGTGTTTAGACTTTTCAATACTTCATGTTTTTAATAGTAATTTCTTACAATGGATGACAATTCTAAAAGCGAGAGATGGTAGAGTAACTGTTACTCGGCAAATTTTGCCACCACTTTCAACAACTGTCCATCATCATCCATCAGTTATTGCCACACTATTCTCTTCACTTATTTCTCACATTCCAGTTATGCAGTATATGCTTTCTATGAATGACTTCTCATCTCTTATTTACAAAAAAAAAAAAAAAAAATGCTATGATCTCAAATCAAATTCTAATGCTTTCTAATACTGAACATTTTATTTGACTTTAATAAAACAGGTACTTTATTTTCTCTCATGAATTCATAATTTTTTCCCACCCATTAAAAATCACAACCCTTTAATTCTAGTACGAACATGTAGTTACCAGTGTCCTTCATTACCTTCTCTAGAGCCTTGAGCACTTTATCTGGCATGTGGTCCTGAACCATACAGGGGGAGATGAGCACCTCGTCGAAGTCCTCGTTGTCTCTCCACACTGCCTGATACACTGGCCGAGGGCTTCGTAGCCACTGTCTAAAGAAGATTTCATAGTTAGCTGTGACAAGATGATTCATATAAAACCGAATTTATAAGAAAAAGTGGAAGACTGATGAGTGATAGATAATAAAACAAAAAAAATAAATAAATAATAGTAAAAAAAATTATATGGTCCCCAAGAGGCAATAAGAACTGTGACTAAGGGCTGGACAGAAATATAAAATTACCGTCTACATTACTTATCTATACTATACCTGTCAGCCATACTCATACCCAACCAAGTGGGGTGTATGCCATATGCATTAACTGTCACAAGGAACTATAATTTATCACTCCATCTTTAGCTCATACTGAGATAAAGTAAATAGGGGGGGGGGGGTCTCCATTGTACTAGAATGGTTCACAGCCTTTCATTTGGCTCATTCTATAAACTCATCTGTGGGAATTCCATTTTCACTCACTGCTTCACCTTCATATACAAATCTTTACCAATGTGTATAGTATCTCAACATAACTTAGACATACTGTACAGCACTGTATTTCAATGCCAATTTTTTTTGTTTTCAAATTAAATTACAGCTACTCCTCGACTTACGACATACTCGACCTACGACCACCCGGACATATGACTGCCTCAGTTGTACCAAAATTTTGTCAAATTACGTATTTTCGAGTCCCAACGATAGTGATTGCGCTGTTTACTGACAAAATTTTCGTTTGTAATTCACTTTAAAATGGCTGGCAAGCTTAAAAGTGAGAGTTTTGTGGTGCTGAGAAGAAAAAGAGACCCATTTTAGATTTTCTATGTATTATTATAAGCATTTTTGACTTACGACCTGGATTTGGGTCCCTAACCCTGTCGTAAGTCGAGGAGCAGCTGTACTTTAAAAAGAATCACTAGATACTAGGGGAATGCTACTCCTCCATCCCCCCACCTCCCTTCAAAAAAAGAAGGCAGAACAGAGTTAGGAATGCAACTGACTGGAAAGGCTGTGTATTTGACATTTTCTACAAATTAACACATACTGTACAGTATTCCATAACAAAATAGTAAGGACACATTGGTAACTAGAAATGCAAACCATAATGCCAAAGTTAAATTTATTATCAATATTTATAATCAAGCAAAAATATTGTCACGGTAACATAATGAACATTGGCAGGTCTGGAAAGTTGATATCTGAATATGCTGTATTGACAAAGAGAAAACATAGGAAATATCCTTGGTACTTAACATTAAAGTACCTGTACCAGTAGTGTTAGAGCAGAAGCTTATATGATACAGTACTTCAAACTAAAACAAAAGAGGATGCTGTTGTGTGAAACTTATACCCCTTCATGCTGGCCACTTATTCCTTACTAACTTTCTACAGTAATATATGCACGGAACTGCACTTGTCAACCACGATAATATCTACTCGTGCGCCGCTACATTGCCAACCCGCACACTACAGTCCTGTGGTTGGTTCTTTGTCAATCACATCTCCCTGTTATCGCGTAGCTCTACGATTATTGCTCGGCATCATTGGCTGTACGTACATTATTCTTATCTATTTTTTTTTCTTATAGTGAGAAGACAGCACTAACATTTAGATTGAACTGTATTATGGTGACTGTGAAGTGATATTTTCTGTGTTTTTTGTTTTTGTTTTTTTGTAACTGATAAGTGCTTCACCTCAGTTGTTGTGAAAATGATGTGAGCAGTGTCTGCCACTATCATTGCTTTTAAGTTATCATCATTCGCTCTGTTTTTGTGACAAGTACTTTTGTGAATGTGAAGTGAGCAGTGTAACTTTGAAAATGTCTGGGAAGGCCAAGGCTTCCAAGACAACCATGTTTCTGAGGTGAAATTTGACCATTGTTAAGCTGCACGAGACTCTCCAGAGGGTGTGTGGGAGTCAGAATGACGTCTCCACTCCACCTTCAAGAGTTCCCTTAGCCTCGAAGGGGACATGTGATGATGACCAGGCTTGTTCTTCATGATGTGGGGAGTGTTGTTTAATTGTTTTCTATTGTTTTATAGGTGTAGGAATTTTTTTGTCGGTGATACATGTGTTTTTGGGGACTGGCTAGGAATGTTTCCCATTGAACCTAACCCCATCATTTATTGAGGTTTACATGTTGTTTAAGGTAAAGTTTAATTAACCAAATTAATCATTAAACATCATGTACTCATCAGTGTCAATTGAAGAGCTACATAGTATACTGTACAGTACTGTATTGATTTTCTGGTAACCCACACCTTGGTCAAGTTTGGTCTGGTGACTCAAGATATAATAACAGTACTGCACTGTACACCAATGGAAATTTGATTTATGGAATTTTTTTTATTGCTGTTAATGGAGGCACTATTGTATATAAATTTCATACAGTAGAGTTGCAAAAATTTGCAATTTTGAAATTTGCTCAAGCAAAGTTGCAGGTACTGTACAGTATTTTCTCGATTTAACAAACTAATTTGAGCCACCCCTTTCCGCTAAATCAAATTTCTGTTCGTTTTGCTCGATTTAGTGAACTAGTTCACTAAATCGAGCGTGATTCCGTTAAATTCCACGCCAAATGCACCACTTGGTGCGTGGGGTTTGTTTACGTCCACTCTATCTGCGTTCTGCCGCCACCGCATGTGTTGTTCACTGCTACCTCTTGGTCAACTAACTACTGGGCTGAGACATCATGCCAAAAGTCTATCAGAAGTCTCAGAAAGGAAGTGGTGTGAGGGAGAAAGTCAAAAGAGTGTCTATCAATTGGAAAAAGTTTGGAAATAATAGAAAAAGTTGAAAACAAACACTGAACCCCCTAGTTTAAAGTAAGCCATGAATAATGTTACTAATGGTTCTATGTACAGTCGGGGTCAAAAGTCTTGAAAACTTGACAGTATTTGGCATGTAAGTACCCGGAGATCTAAGGTATTAAGGAGAGTTTTATCCCATTTTGTGGTTCAGGCATAATGTGATGACAAGTAGTGTTATTAGTATATCCCAATCATATATGTATAACTCAGAAGTAGATGCCAGATATTGCTAAGTGTTCAAGACTTTTGACCCCGACTGTACATATCATATGTCTGAAGTGTCTCCGCACAGTAGGTTTGAGCATATTAACGGAATTAATCTCGATTTAGTGAACTAGTTCACTAAATCAAGCGAAAAATAACAGAATTTTTTTTTTCTGCTAAATCGAGAGTGTACTGTACCTCTAATACTACCCATTTTTATTTATTTATTTTTTTTCAAATTTTCATAATTCAAGGCTAAGGTCAAATTCAGTTTTACCCCACGTGGGAGCTAGTTTATTGGGAACCTCTTTGCATCCTGTGCAAGGTGAAACAGAAAAGTGTTTACAGTACCCAACAGGGAAGCATGTGCGGTTCATGATTGCCTTCTTGACTCACGTGATTTTGGATGAAAGTGCCTGAATGGCTATGGATTATGTCGGCAAATTTCATATAGTGACAGGAGGATGAGTGCGTGGAGGGAGAATTCCCGACACAATTCATTTACTTATGGCAAAGCGTGGCAGGTCCCTCATAATGTCAAGTGTCAGGCCTGTCTCTTGGAGGAGGGATAATTTGTCAGGGCGGGAAAAGGTGTTGGTGATGGCTGGGTACCCGTAGGAGTAGGTCAGAGGGCAAGTGAGAATGGTAGTGAGGGAGGGTATGAGAGGTGGGTTGTCCACAAAGTTTATATATAGTGCTGCCAGGCTCAGGGTTGTCAATGTACTCTCAGGGTTATCTATAGCTCAGGTGCAGTCTCGTGTACACAAACTGTTGGGACTGAGTCAGGGGTTAATACTTTTTATGATGACTTGTCATTTCCGGTTGATGCATCACAGTGAGGCTGCAGCGTTTGACTCTCAGAGTCAATGCACTTGGTGAGTAAGTTCCAGCTTAGAGAGCTCAGCTGCAGGGTTTCCATTTGGTGTTTTTCATTACAGTACTGTACCAAATTCAAGGAAACTTAGTAATGAAAAATCTGGTTAGGTAATGATGATATGCTAAAAGAACCTGGATACAGTACAGTATGTATCATGGACAAAGTGTTTGGTAATTTCTGCTGAACTGTATGATCATACGTCAGAAGGGAAGGAGGAGGCAAGAAGGCCAGAGGCAATGCCTTGGCCACCCTGTACATCTAAACTGCCAGTGATTGTGTCAACAGATTTATTACATGCCAGTCATATCACTTAAGTTAAAGCATAATTACCGGTAATTTTTCCTTTATTGTGTGTTCATTTCCATGAAATTGAAAAAAAAAATAAAGTCAGTTTAGTAATGATAAAGATGGATTTGGTATAGTGGCTGCAAAATCAGAGTTGGCAACTGTGCCTCAGCCTCCCTCCCATACCCTCCTACGCAGTCCACACTCACTTTAGCGCAGTTGTCCTTTCAACCTACACCAAGGTTTCTACTACACTAAAATGTCTGAGCACCTACATCCTCAGCAGGACTTAGTAAGCACCGTACCAGTTCACCTTCATCCTCAGTAACACCCAAGAGAAAGTCCTACAAGACATTACTCTGGGGAAAAAAATTAAGATAATTAATGAAATCAAAGCCGGTGCTGCTGTGTCTGCTATTGCTCGTCACCTGGGATTGAATAAAAGCACGATAAAGAGTGTCCACCAAAAAGCACCTCAAGGCAACTGCATACCAAGAGATGGAAGTTGCAGATGCATAAGGCAGCAGTAAGTGGACCCATGATTCAAGAGGAAGCAGTTGATCTACAGAAGATCCTGGCCAAGCAGGAAAAATCACCATAGGATATGAAGTTAAAGGCGAGTCAAGGCTGGCTTCACAACATCAAGTGTGTGGACCAAAAAAATGTGAAGCTGTCTGGAGAGGCTGTGTCAGCAGATCACATTGCTATTAAGGAGTTAAGGTTGCACTATAGCATGCAATTGAGAAGGGTGGCTACATGTCTAACCGAGTGTAGAGTTGTGATGAAACCGGCCTGTACTGGAAGAAGATGGTGAACAAAACCTATATTATGAAGACTGAAGCCAAAGCACCAGGCTTCAAATCAAGCAGAACAGGCCAGATGAAGCAACTCCTCATCCATCATGCTGCCAAATCACGTGCTGTGAAAAATGTGGTGATGCCCATGCTCTCTGTTATCTGGCAATGAAACAAGAAAGCCTGGATGACATCAGATATTTTTGAAGACTGGCACATTTCCACTCTATTCCCTTCATTACAAATTTAACAAACAGTGCAACCTGGCCAACAAAGCCCTCATCATCCTAGACAAGGCCTCCAGCCATCCATATCGACTCAATGCCATCAAAGACGACATTTAATTTCACTTTCTGCTTCCCGTCATGTGCAACCCTTGGACCAGGAAGGCGCCGCTGTCTTCAAGAGGCTCAACCTGAAGGCGATGATTAAGCAGATGGCGAAAGCCTATCAAGATGAATGATCAGCTGAGTGTGAGGGACTTCAGGAAGTCTTACATCATTAAAGATGCCCTGTTCAACATTGGGCAGAGCTGGAAGGGAATCACTGAATACGCTCACAATGGTTTGTGGTGTCGAATTTGGCCTGAGGTTGAAGGAGCAGAAGCAGCAGGATGTTACTGAAATCCTCCAGCTAAGTCACCAGATGTGAGATGACCCCAGCTTCCAGGAGATCAACGAGGATGATGTGGAGGAGCTCATTGATACCATGAATAAGTGCCTCACAGCCAAGCAAGTGTTCCATATGGCAGAAAATGCAAAAAGGCACAAGGAGGAGGAGGAGGAGGAGGAAGCAACTGTGGACGACAGAAGAGTGACAGAAGAGTGATGGGACAGTGGCTGAGTCTGGCTGACCTTCAGTTGTTCAAGTACTACACGAATGAAGCGAAGTAACTCACCATGGAGAGGGCGATTGAAGTGATAGATAACATCCAACAGTGCAGTAGCACTTACAGCAGACTTCTGGACAAGGACTTGGCACGTCAGAAACATAGGGCGATCACCTCATACTTTGGCAAATATTTGTTAAAATCATTGTTTTTTAGTTTTGAAATACAGGCAGTCCCCAGCTTATGAATATCAGCACTTACAAATGGGTTCCCAATATATTTATCACAAAAATCTGTAACTAAAATCCCATTTTATACATTACAGTGAACCCTCGCTTTACGCGGTTTCACTTTACGCGTTTCTACATTTACGCGGTACCCTGCCAGAACCGGAATTCCCACTTTACACGGTGCATCTACTCATATACGCGGGTGAAGTATAATTTTTTTTATTTAGCTCATAAAATTCATACAAATTATCCGGCCAGAATATAATTTATATTGCTGGAATTCTTACAATTTGATGATCATTTTGAATATAAGCATCATAGATTTTGCATTAGACATACAAATTTTAGATCTAATGCAAGTATTTTGTTTACTCTGAGCAAATATGTTATCTTTTGTGCAAAATATATGACATGTATATTCAAAATATTCCTGGTCTTGCAAGGAATCCAGCAATGTCAATTATATTATCCTAACTTTAGTCTGAGGTATTATTTATTACTAAAAATGTAAATACAGTATTACCCCGCCTAACGCGGTTTCACTTAACGCGGTGCCTCGCCAGAAGCGAACTTTCACTTAACATGGATTTTTTCCACATATACGCGGTGAGTGTCCGGCTCGAGACGCTATTTTTAGATTTGCCCCACGCGCCACCCGCCTGTGCTTCTCGCCTCTCCCTCCTCCTCCCTCCGCTTGGGCAAGCGGCGCGGTAAGGTTGCGCAGTGTGTGTCTTTGTTGCGTTATCACTGACGTCATATGATGTATAGGACTGTGATTGGCCATGCATCCCTACCCCCCTCTGCTGCTAGCTGTAATTGGCTTAAAGTATTATGACGTGACCACCCGGGGGAGGGAGGGAGGGAGGGAGGGAGGGAGGAAAGACGACGCTTGACCTAGCCGCGGCAGTTTCATCCCTCAAGGCCACACCGTGTAAACGCGCATCCATTGGTCCGTAAAATGGCTTCCACCGGACCACCACCGCCACCAAAGAGAGACCTTTCCTTACCTGGACCCAGCGGCACTAAGCCAAAGAAGACACGACGTTCCTTAAGCTACGAGGTGAAGTACCAAATTGTTCAAGATTTGGAGAAAGGAACACGGCAAATTGATCTCGCGCGCCAGCATGGTGTCAACGAATCTACGATTCGCACGATCAAGAAGGATGCAGCCAAGATCAGAGCACATGAAAATCACAAAGTCTGCAGGTGCTTCATCTATCAGGTATTGCCAGAACAGGGTGCTGGCAAAAGTGGAAAATTTGCTGGTGAATTATTTGATTCGTCAGGCGCGACGCAACATGGCGGTGGACACGCGCTCAGTGCAGGAGTACGCACATGAGCTATACGCAGCAGTGTCACGTAAGCTGGGAATTGCAGAGCCCAAACCCTTCAATGCTTCCTCTGGTTGGCTGCATAGGTTTAAGAAGAGGAACAAGATCACCAACATCAACATTGGTGGTGAGGAAGCGAGTGCTGACCGTGTGGCGGCTAGAGATTTTCCTCCGTTCTTACGTGAGATTATGGAGGAAGGACAGTACACTGACGACCAGGTGTTTAACATGGACGAATCTGGTCTTTTCTGGAAAAAGCTACCTTCCAAGACCTTCGTTGTCCAGTCTGCCAGCAAGGTAAGGGGTCGGAAGTTGCAGAAGGAACGCATCACCGTCCTGTTTACCACCAATGCCTCCGGTACCTGTAAACCAAAGTTATCGGTGATTCACACAGCCCGCAAGCCGCACGCCTACAAGAATATGGACATGAACAAGCTTAATGTCCACTGGCTAACCGCACGTAAGGCGTGGATGTCCTCTTCTCTGTCCCTCTTCTGGTTTGACAACTGTTTTGTTCCTGACGTGAAGAAATTCTGCGAGCAACAGAATGTTTCATTCAATATTTTGTTGCTCCTTGACAACGCACCTGGACACTCGCCCCTACTTATGGATCGTCACCCCAACGTAAAAGTGGTCTTCCTTCCTCCCAACACTACGTCATTAATCCAGCCCATGGACCAGGAGTTGATCTGCAATGTGAAAGCTGCGTACTCTGCAAAGAAGTTCAAGCTCCTGAACGACTCTACCAACACCAAGGATGAGTTGCGTATGCTGGGTGACACCGACAGCGAGAGCAAAAGCGACGAGGACAAGGAACAAGAGGTGGCGGCTCAAGAACTTCTCGTCAAACAATTTTGGAAGAAGTTTAACGTTAAACAAGCTGTAGACTTCTTGGTGGAGGCATGGGATCTGCTGACTATTGCTACGATTCGTCACGCATGGAGACATGTGTTGCATGGCATACCAGGTGAGAGGAGGAGTGAACCTGTGACTGGTCAGGTTCAGACTGTTGCAGTAGCAGTGGACCTTGCCAGAGAAGCTGCGCTCAATATTACAGCTGAAGGCTTCTCCGAGACCACCAACGAAGACATCCTGGAGGTGATCAGAGATCCTGAAGTGACTGCCGACGAGATGTTGGAAGAAGAACACGCCAGTGAAGAGGAGGAAGAAGGTGCGTCATTCTCCGAAGAACCTAGTTTAAGTCATAGTGATATTAAGTGTGCCATAGAGTTTGCAGAGAAAATTAAGTCCGTCCTTTCCCGCGACAATGACGATGACCGCTATGAAGTCTTCCATACCCGGCTGGTGCAGGCTATGGAGCCGTACATCACGGTGTATCATGACAACATCAACGCCAGCCGTCAGCAAAGCATAACCGAGTTCTTCGCCCGCAACCCACCACAGCCAGCCCAAGCCAGTGATAGTGAAATTGAAGTTGACTTTGAGGGATTTGTCAGGGAAGCCCTGACAACTGTAAGTGACAGTGATGGTGATTCACCTAGTAATGGTGATTCACCTGAGGGCCAGTAATCTGCCCTCTGCCTCGGAACCAGCCTCCATCCCCGTATGCCGACCCATCTCTTCTACTACCGTAAGTGTTCCACCTAACTTTTAGTTTCTCTAACCTAACCTTTATTTTTCCTATGTTAACCTTTATTTTTCCTAACCTAACCTCTTCTATATTACTTGTTTTTTCATACCATCATAAAGTTAAGATAAAATTTTTACTACAACATAGTTATGTGTCGTCAAAAAGTGGAGTTTGGGGGTCGGGCTGGTTTCTATTGGAATTAATCCCATATGTTCTGTTGTTCACTTAACGCGGATTTCACTTAACACGGTACCCTCTGGGTTTTACTGACCGCGTTAAGTGGGGTACAACTGTATACTGTTATAACCCAATCATTTCTCTGGTAGGGAGGGAAGGTGGGGGTGAGGGGTAGGGAGGGAGGGAAGGACCCAGGGAGCAGGTGGGAAGAGGGGGGGGAGGTGGGGTATTTTGATTGACAGATAGTATTTCGCTAAGTATATTTTGTTTATTTATTGAAGATATTTGTTTTAGCTCATAAAATTCATACAAATTACCGGGCCAGAATATAATTTACATTGCTGGAATTCTTACAATTTGATGATCATTTTGAATATAAACATCATAGATTTTACATTAGACATACAAATTTTAGATCTAATGTAAGTATTTTGTTTACTCTGAGTAAATATGTTATCTTTTGTGCAAAATATATGACATTTATATTCAAAATATTCCTGGTCTTACAAGGAATCCATCAATGTCAATTATATTATCCTAACTTTCGTTTGAGGTATTATTTATTACTATACCTTAAAATCTAGTGGTTTTCCCCCAAACATTTCTCAGAGAGGGAAGAGCCAGCGAGTGTGAGAAGAGGGGGAGGGAGTTGAGTCCATTATTTGAATGGACATTAACTTGGCGACTGTATTTCTCTATTTCTCTTAAGTATTAATTGTGTGCATGTACCATCATAAAATTAAGATGGTATTTTTACTAGAACATAGGTATTGTGTCGGAAAAAGTGGAGTTTGGGGGTCAGCCGGTCTCTATTTCATTTAATCCCATAAGTTATGTTGTTCGCTTTACGTGTTTCTCGCTTTACGCGGGCCTCTGTGGGTTCAATTGACCGTGTAAAGTGAGGGTTCACTGTACTTTATATTGCTTAGCACCACTTAATTTACAATATTTTCATTATTTGTTATGTATGGGATGTTGCTGTTGCACTGTATGAGCAGGGATGTGCTTTAACCTAACATAAACTATGTAATAAACACTGTTCTAACTTATGAACAGATCGACTTATGAACAGGGTCCAGGAATGTAATCCATTCATAACTCAGGAACTGCGCAGTGAAATAAGAGATGTAAAATGTATTTGATACAAAAATTAACACAAAAATTTGAGTGGATTAGTCTGTCTCAATATAGTTGAGTCTGTATGACTGAAAGTGTCTGTTTGAATGATTATTAACTAAATTTGTGTTTTCTTGACTGCAGCTGCCACAGCGTGAGGTTCTGCTGGTGGTGGTGGTGCTGCTATATCTCCAGTTTGGTGCATTCAGCTCAGCAGGTGAGGGTGTAAAACACTGCTGTAGCTGTTGCAGTTTTGATATACGTGAAATAAGAGACGTAAAAAGTGTTTGATAAAAAAAAATAAAAAAAAAATAAGAAAGGATGTTTGACTAAATTTGTCTTTCCTTACAACAGTTACAGTAGCTTCGGGCAAGCTGGTGGTGCTGCTGAATACAGTGAAGTAGAAGTTTCTCTAAAATTTGGTGGATTCAGCCTATCAGATACTGATGTGTGAGGTGTTGCACAGCTGCTGCTTATAAGTTTAACTAGTGATACGTAAATAAGTGTCTGAATTTTAATAGCTGAGTGTTCTCAAGCGAATTAATGTGTTGCAAAGTAACTTCAAGTGAACAAAGGAAAATTAGTTTGTGTTTCAGTACAAGAAAATTAGGCATAGCTTAAAATATATTTTCTATTAACAGTGGTGCAAAAATTTCAACTCCCTCATGCTGCTGACCACCAGGAGGGTCCACCAACACCCCAGTCCCACCTTGTTGTT